GCTACCCTGCATCCTGCACCCTGGGTACCCGGTGGCCAGAGAAGATGTGACCAGGCCCTGCCCATTCTGGTCAGGAGGACACAGTCACAACCTGGCACACCCCACTGCCGAGGCTGGAGAGTGCAGGTGCCTGGTGGACCAGCCTGGGTGGGTGCCATGCACGGCTGCAGAGTCCCCTGGGAGCACAGAGGCTGCCCACTGGGTAGCCCCTTCCTCAGCCTGCAGATGCCAGCCCTGGGGGCCCAAGGGATCATCCAGATAGATCCAGCCAATGTCCGGGGTGTGTGTGCAGGGGACGCTGGCATGGCACTGGTTTGGGCCTTTCCATACAGAGCAGGCGAGGCAGCTGAGGCCCGGAGGGGAAGTGGCGTCCCCAGGCCTGTCCAACTGCAGGCCCCTTGGCATCCTCTTCTGTCTAGGACTCCCTGCCAGGCTGTGAACACCTCACGGGGCTTGATGTTCCTTTGAGCACTTGCCAGTGGTTTGTAGAGGCTGGGCCAGGCCCTGGATGGCCATGTCAGAAGCGCAGGACGATGTCCAGGGTGGGATGGGGCCGTGTTAGGGATGAGTCCCCGGGAGTTTGAGGCACAGCGGGAGGGCGTGGGACTGTGGGGGCAGGGAGAGGGCAGGCCATTTATTCGAGATGCAGCACCTGTCCCAGACTGTCTGTCTGGGGCCAGCATTGCGGAGCTAACCCTCCTGCTCCCCCGCCGGGGCATCCTCCCTCGGGCTCTGGTGCCGCAGGTCCCTGTGGATGCTGCTGAAACTGAGACAGAGGCTGCGGAGCCCCACGGCGCCCTTCACCAGGTAGGAACCCGCGATTACCCAGCAGGAAGGCCCACTCCCTCCAGCAGGCGTGGGATCCCGGCTCAGAGTTACCTCTGTGCAGGCCCGTGCTGGGGTCTGTTGTGCTCAGGTCATGGGGGTCTCACTGCAGCCTCTGGTGGGTGGCGGTACCTTTGACAGATGGGGAAACTGAGGCTTGCTTGAGCGAGGACTCCGGGGCTGAGCCTTCATGGCTGTGCCCCCAGCAGGAGAGAATGATCAATTTCCCGAGGCCATGGCCGTTTTTACTGTTGCTTTTTCTTTTTTGAGACAGGGCCTTGCTCTGTCGCTCAGGCTGGAGCACAGTGGTGCCATCTCGGCTCACTGCAACCTCCACCTCCCGGGCTCAACTGATCCTCCTGCCTCAGCTTCCCGAGTAGCTGAGACTACAGGCACGTGGCACCATGCCTGGCTGATTTTGGTATTTATTTTTTGGTGGGGATGGGGTCTCACCACATTGGCCAGGCTTGTCGTCACTGTGTCATCCTGAAAAAGAAAGGCTGGGCAGGCACAGGCCACGTTCCTGGGGTTCCCCCTTGCCTCCATAGCACTCCCAAAGTGCATTTGTGCTTTCTGTTTTTTACAAGGAACCCCCATCTCCGGGTGTTCAGGAGGAGTGAGGTGTGGATTTGAGGACTTGGACCCAGGTCCCTGCCCTGTTTGTGCTTGGGCCGTGGGGGTGATGGGGACTCAGTCTCTGTGGAGGGTCACGGAGGCCACCTCGGCCCTGCCAGCTCCTCCCACTCACAGGCAGGGGCTCAGGGCTGCCAGGCCACACAGGGCCTTCAGGGGTTTGGGAAGGGCAGGCAGGCGTGAGCGTGAGTGTGAGTGGCTCCTCTCTGCCCCACAGCCCGCTGCCCCGGGGCAAGCGGAGGGCCATGGAGGCGCAGATGCAGTCGGAAGCACTGTCACTTCTCAGCAACCTGGCCGACCTGGCCAACGCCGTGCACTGGCTGCCTCGGGGCGTGCTGTGGGCCGGCCGCTTCCCGCCATGGCTGGTGGGCCTCATGGGCACCATCTCCTCGATCCTCAGCATGTACCAGGCGGTCCGGGCCGGCGGCCAGGCCGAGGCCACTACCCCCTGACACTGCCAGAAGAGCACAGGGACGCAGCCGGAGCCCACGGAGGGCCCTTCCTGCAAAGCAGAAGCCACCAGGGCAGGGGCCGGGGCTCTCATGGAGCTGCCTGTGGCAAAACCCATGGGCAGGGTGGGTGGAGGGACTGATGCGAGGTCTCCCGGGCCTCAGCCCTGAGCTCCTGAGCCCTGAGTTTTCAGGGGCTGCAGAGGGCTTCAGCAGCACCTCCTGCCTGCCAGCCGGAGTCTTGTATCCAAATCAAGATGAGGAGGAGGGAGCCTGTCGTGCCTTGGGAAAGCTGGAACGGGAATCAATTAAACATTGTGGTGCTGGCGCCTGGCTCAGGGTGAAGGTTATTACACTGGTGGCTCCTGGCCCCTTCCCCTCCATGGGATGCAGCCACAGTTGGAAACCACACTTCCCTAGCCCACCTTCATGAATGCCCTTGGCCCGGTGGGTCCTCTCCGTCTTTGAGCAAGCGTTGCCTACGGACCCCAAGTGGCCTCCAGCCATTGAGGGCTGTTCTCTACTCCCCAGAGTCCTGGGCACACAGCCAGAGGTACCACCTCCGGTCAGGCCACCTGAGGGCATGCTCATGCCACTGTGCTGCAGACGCAGGGCCACTGTGAGCGTTTTGAGGGCTCCAGGCTGAGACTGGGCAACACACACCGATAGACACGTGGGGCTGCCACGTCAGCCAGTGTGTGGTGGGATGGGATGAGGGTACTTCTTAGTCTGCTGGCTGAGAACGACACTTCAGAGTCCCTGCACATGTGGCTTCTGGCAGACATTGGTGCACAGCCTGGCCCAGGAATACACAATAGTCAGTATGTGTGCCCTCGGGCCTCGTGATATCAATTGCACTGCCTTGATTTTTGTCTTTTTAACACAGGATCTCACTCTCTCACCCAGGCTGGAGTGCAGTGGTGCAATCATAACCTCACTGCAGCCTCGAACTTCTGGGCTCAAGGGATCCTCCTACCTCAGCCTCCTGAATAGCAGGAATTACAGGCATTTATCACCACGCCCAGCTAATTTTTAATTTTTTTGTAAAGACGGGGTCTCGCCATATTGCCCAGGTTAGTCTTGAACTGGCTTCAAGCTATCTGCCTGCCTCGGCCTCCCAGAGTACATTTGTGGTTTGTTTTGTTTTTACAAGGAAGACACCAGGTGGCTCTGAGCAACTAGGAGGCCAGGGACTGCTGAGGATCAAATGGGTGCAGGAGATCCCATCTGTGGGGCTCCTTCTGCCCAGGACTTACGAGTGGGCCGGGCTTGGTGGGTTCCCCCTTCTCTCCTTTGTCGGGGGTGCAGGCCTGTCCGGGCCCTCAGCAAAGGCCACCTTCCCAGCCCCTAGCGGCACCTGCATGATGAGGACATCTCATTATCTACCTGGAGACCCAATTACTCTCCCAGCTACTCGGGAGGCTGAGGGAGGATAATCGCTTGAACCTGGGAGGTGGAGGTTGCAGTGAGTCAAGATAGCACGGCACTGCACTCCAGCCTGGGTGACAGAGCAAGACTCCATCCCAAAAATAAGTAAAAATGAAATAGTAAATTAATTTCATCCTTTTTCTTTTATTTTTTCTTTTTTTTTTTGAGACAAAGTCTCACTCTTGTCCCCCAGGATGGAGTGCAGTGGTGCAATCTCGGCTCGCTGCAACCTCCGCCTCCGGGTTCAAGCGATTCTCTTGCCTCAGCCTCTGGAGTAGCTGGGATTACAGGCGTTTGCCACCATGCCCGGCTGATTTTTGTGTTTTTAGTAGAGATGGGGTTTCACCACATTGGCTAGGCTGGTCTCGAACTCCTGACCTCAAGTGATCCTCCCGCCTCGACCTCCCAAAGTGCTGGGATTATAGGCATGGGCCACTGCGCCCGGCCCTTTTTCTTTTTTTAAAAATTTCATTTCTTTTTTCAATCACCAAAATTTCCTTTTTTTTTTTTTTTAAAGCTCTTAGAGATAGCGTCTCACCATGTTGCCCAGGCCGGAGTGCAGTGGCACGATCATAGCTCACTGCAACTTCGAACCCCTAGGCTCAAGCAATCCTCCTGCCTCAGCCTCCTGTGTAGCTGGGACTACAGGTACATGCCACCATACCTGACTAATTTTTTAATTTTGTGGAGAAGGGGTTCACTATGTTGCCCAGGCTGGTCTCGAACTCCTGGGCTCAAGCGATCTTCCTGGCTCTGCCCCTGCCCCCACAAAATGCTGGGATTACAGGGATGAACCACTGTGCCCGGCCCTCCTTTTACTTTTTTAATACGGCTACTAAAAATGAAAAATTCCACACGTGGCCTGCATCATCTTCCTGGTGGAGAGTGCTGCCTGAGAGTTCCCATTTTGCACTTCCTAGTGACCTAGTGATTGACTTTACACCTAGTCACCTCGTGACGGGAAACCCTCTGTTGAAACAGCAGTGTCCTTGCCTCACTGGAACTCAGACCAGGTGGAAATGATGATTTCACACTCATAGCCCAGCTGCCTCTCACACCAGATGGAGGAACTGAAAGTTACACTCTTGGGGGTTATTTTGGATTAAAAGCAAGAAGATTTTTGTGGAGGCGCCACAAAATCCTGAAGTGTACCCCGTGGGCAGGACCCTCCACAGGCACCTCCACGCCCCACTTCTGCCTCTTATCCGTAATCCCAGCACTTTGGGAGGCTGAGGCGGGCAGATCACTTGAGGTCAGGAGTTCGAGACCAGCCTGGCCAAAATGGTGAAACCTCATGTCTACTAAAATAATACAAAAATTAGCTGGGTGTGGTGGCGTGTACCTGTAATCCCAGCTACCCGGGAGGCGGAGGATGCAGTGAGCTGAGATCCTGTCACTGGTCTCCAGCCTGGGCGACAGAGCGAGACTCCGTCTCAAAAAAAAAAAAAAAGCAGAAACAAAACCAAAAAAGAACCCCCAACAACTCCTGGGGACTGTGCCTGAAGGGGGTCTTCAGACTGTTAAGCAGGACAAGGAGGGCGGGGGGCGAGCCGAGGTGCAGGAGCCATGGGAAGCCCTCACCAGAACCCGCTACTCCTGCAGCGACGTCTGGGCAGAAGAAAATCCTAAAACAAAACCCCCAAGAACGTGCACGCCAGTCACTGCTCATCTTGGACACGTTTATTGCTAGAATCAGGTCTTAAGTTCTAAAGCAGGTCAGAAATATCCCGCGGTGAGGAAACGTAATCATCGTAAAAATAATTAGCAGGTGACTAAGATCACGATCACGACTGACAAAGACGTGTGCAGATCCCACGAAAATATGAACATGTGCTCGACCGTCAACTTTACAAATAAAATCGGGCTCCAACCCAGAAGTGGCCGAGGGGCACTGGCGAGGGAAGGGCTGTCAATGCCGCCGCCCCATGCCTAGCACGACTGAGACCCCTCGGCCATGTGGCAGGGACGCAGGGTTCCCACCGAATGGCCGAGCAGAAATTCCTTGAACTTCTCCCCCATCCAAGGAATTGTGGCATCTCAGAGGGCTGGACCGGCACATGCCGGCTCAGGAGGGTACGAGGGTCTAGGAATGTTCTCTTCACAACAGAACAGGAATGTACAGTCAGCTTTTGTAAAGTGCTCCGATACTCAGTACAAAAATACAAAACACTGATGATAAACATGGCACACATGGGATCCGACGGGGGGGCGGAGAGCGACGCTGATGGCCAGCGACTGGGCTGGGTGGAGTCGAGGTCGTCGGAGGGGCCAGGCGTCTTGGGACGCCTGGCCACTCACTGTGTTCTCAGGACCTTGTCACCAACGGGCTGTATGGCTGTGGGGCTCTGGTCCTAGTTGGCATCAGCTCCTGCCCTGTCCCCTCCTGAGCCCACAGCACCCAGTGGGCGCCTCTGCCCAGGGGAGCACTTCCTGATGGAGTTGCCCATCCCCTGTGCCCGTCTGTCCCCGAGTGGCGGGAAATGTCCCTGTTCACTGTATTCAGGGTCACAGAGGCGCCTCTGCCAGCACAGTGGGAGAAGGGCTGAATCCCCAAGGGATCTGCGGTTCCCAGGACCCTGGGTTCCGGAGAAGGACTTGGCCCTGGTGGGGGCTCACGTGTTCCCCACTGGGAACAAGGATGACCAGCCAGGACCCAGTCCTGCCACTAATGCTTGGGGTGCAGAACAAGGCTTGAAATGTGCCCCCTTCTCCACCGGAGCTGGATCATGGATGGATCTCACTGTCCCGGGATCGCCACCATGGGACGTCCCAGCACCTTCGACACTGCCCAGCACTCCTTCCTCCATCCTCCAGGGGAGGGGCCATGAGCTGCAACAGCTCACTACAAGCGAGGGGCCCGCACAGCAGCCACTTGGCCACTCGCTGCAACGTCTCTAGGTGCTTCCTCCGCACGCCCCGGGATGTGGCGCTCTCGACAGTCTGTGACGTGCCAGCCCTGCCTGGAAGGTGGGATGCCAGCCCCAGGAGCTCATTTCCCGGGGGCCGAGGACCCTGCGTCCGGGGTGTATATGCGCCCTGGCTGAAGCTAGAGACCTGGCTTCCCAGACAGACGTAGCGTGTGAACAGCAATGGGTGACCTCGGGAAGCAGAGTTTGGGAGAAGCTGGTTTCAAAACCAATGCCAAGTAAAAAGGGGCAAAGGTCAGCCCCTTTCACAGTGGGCTTCCAAACCCACAGAACTGCCTGGAGGGCCACTGATGTCCCCTCAGTGGGCCCTGCCCCGTGGCCCTCTCTGCCCATGCCCCCGTGCCTGGCTCATTCCCTGGCCCTGAGGTTCACGGTGAACCTGCATGAGTCTCTGCTTGGGAAGTGGATTCTGCCTGATTCTGGGGACAGATGCTGCCGACGCCACCTGGCTCCTCCTGGTGCCCTAACCCCTGACTCCAGTGTTGCGTGGTGGCCGTGGAGCGTGGCCCCGGCCAGCAGCTCCTTCTCAGAGCGAGGTCTGTCCTGTCCTCAGCTCCGTGCAGAGCCGGCACCGTTCCTCACTGCCTCAGAAAAACAGCGCGGAGTTGGTCTCCCCGCCACCAGCATGGGGCGCTATGATTTCAGACAGCTCCCTGGTTTAGTCCTGGCTCAACTTTCCATTAAAAACTTTCCTTTTTGAAAAAAAAAAAGAGGTTCAGAAAGTGACCCAGGCCACCACTGCTAATCCTACAGAAAGAGCTGCGAGGCCCAGAGCACCGACAGGCCAGCCCCTGCCAGGCGGTCATCGGTGGTTTGCTAGGGAAGAGGAGGGGACAGCTGGGTGGGCATGGTGACCCCATGGGGGTCCCCAGAGAGCAGGAAGGTTGGGCAGGGCAGGGAGGGGCCTTGCACCTTAAGTCACAGCTCTTTTAGAAGAAGATGACGTCTTCCTTGCTGGCGTCCTCTTTGGCGCTGAGTGGTGTGGCCGGCAGTGGCGAGGGAGCTGGGGGCCCGGGCAGGAGGGCTGTGCCCCCGGCCTTGAGAGAGAAGCCCTCAGAGGGGCTGTCAGCTGGCGGTGGGCTTGGGGCGGGGAAGCCAGGGTCTGGAACAGACAGGGGGTCCAGACTGAGCAGTCGCCGGGTGGTGCCACAGCTGCCAAGTGGGACTGGGCTCGTGTCAGCGGGTGGGGGCTCACCTGGCGGTGGCGCGGGGCTGTGTCTGCTGGGCAGGATGGGGCTCAGCGAGCGGCGGTTCCGTGAGGTGCTCTCATCTTTCCCCATGAACTTGTTGAGCAGCAGCTGCTGCTTCAGGTCGAAGGACGCTGGAAGAGGGAAGGCGCTCGGGCCAGCTCCAGGCTGCCTAGCTGTCCCCACTCCCTAGGGCAGCCTCTGAGAGCAGAGGGGTCTGGCCACCCCCACCTGACACTTCCCACGGGCAGCCTGGATCCCATGACCTGAGCTGCTCAGATGCTAAGCCCCAAATTCAGGGAGAATGGCCCCAGCCTCGCTGTGGAAGGACCTGCAGAGTCACCTGGCATCTGGAGAGGAGGTTGAGCCTCCTGTGGAAACAGCACAGGCCCCAGTGGCCACGGGACACACCTAATCTTCAGGGAATGTCTCAGAACATCCCTGGTTGTCCCCCAGGGAGGTGTCCCCCAGAGGAGCAGGGCCGGCTCTCGTGCCAGAGGAGCCCCTGGGCACCCTCCATGGAAACACTGGGGCTGCTCTGGGCTCTGTGTCCCCCTCTGTGGAACAGCTCGCTCTGTGGAACGGGGACGATGAGCAGAGGCGCGTGCACCTGTCCCCGTCCTGGCTGTGCTGATCCCAGGTGGCCAGGGCTCTCTACCTTCCAGCCCATGTCCCTAAGGCTCCTGGTCCCCATCCCACTGTTTGAGGGTTGAGGTGGGGAAGACACACAGTGGATCATCTCAGTTTTGGGCCTGGAGATCAAACATGGCCCTGTGTGGGGTGGCCTCAGCCATGATGCCAGCTCTGCCTTCTGGTTTTCCTCTCCGGAGGATGGCACAGGTGTCCTGAATTTCCTGGCTCCCAGCGAGCCCCTACAGCCTGACCAGTTGCCCATGGCTGCACCTTCCAGGCCCAGGCGAAGGGGCGGGGCCGGCTCACCTGAGCTCTCCCAGCGCTGAGAGCCCCTGCTCTTGCCGCCCTTGTCCTTGCCACCCTTGGTGGAGGCCGCCAGCTTGGTGGGGATCTGCTGCTGCACGGCCGCCTGCCTCTGGAACTGGTTGGTGGCGCTGAGCAGCTGGATGGGCACATCGCTCTTGGCCAGCCGGCTCTCGGTGGGGGCGCTGTCCCGGCGAGCCACCTCAGGGCGCTCTGCGTACTCTGGCCCCACACCGGACAGCAGCATGCTCACCCGAGGCCCCTCCAGCCCTTCCCCGTTGAAGCTGGGAGGGTGGCTTGGGGGCTGGGCCTGGGGGGACAATAGCACATACATCCCAATGCCAGGTTCCTGCTGTGTGGCCTCTGGAGAGCCCCCGAGGGTCATGCACAGGAGACCCTCGACCTCTCCTGTTCTGGACAGAGCCCGGTGCAGCCTGAAGGAGCTGCTGGTCATTGCCTGTCCCCAACCCCTGTTACATGTGCATACTTGTGACACTCGGTGGCACCCATACTGTCCCATACTCATATACAAACACCTCACACATTCGTGTCCACGCCCATTCACACAACCCATGGTTCATAGGTTTGTTTTCAGAGACACGGTCTTGCTCTGTCACCCAGGCTAGATCTAGTGCAGTGGCGCAGTCACAGCCCTTGAGCCTCTTGGGCTCAAATGATCGCCCTGCCTCAGCCTCCCAAGTAGCTGGGATTACAGGTATGTGCCACCATGCCCTGCTAATTTTTGTTATTTTTTTTTTAGAGACGAGGTCTCACTCCATGGCCCAGGCTGGTCTCAAAGACCTGGCTTCAAGCAATCCTCTGGCCTCAGCCTCCGGAGTAGCTAGGGGACACACCCCATGGCACCCAATTTTTTTCTTTTTTTTGCCCAGGCTGGAGTGCGGTGGCGTGATCACGGCTCATGGCAGCCTCAACCTCACGGGCTCAAGGGATCCTCCCACCTTAGCATTCCAAGTAGCGGGGACCACAGGTGCATGCCACCATGCCTAGCTCATTTTTGGATTTTTTCGTAGAGATGGAGTTTCGCCATATTGCCCAGGCTGGCCAGGAACTCCTGTGCTCAAGCAATCCGCCCGCCTCCACCACCCAAAGTGCTGGGATTACAGGAGTGCATTTTTTTTTTTTCTTAAAGAAGTTTCTAACATTTATGGAATGTTTTGAGCAACAGTGTTCTGTTAAGCATTTAGCCAGCTCTGAGAAAGGTTCTGCATTGTGGCATGAGCTGTTAATGCCAGGGTATCTTGTGCCGTTTGCTCTTACACTCCTGCACGCATGCACCTGCGAACCCTGTCACTTGCATGCACTCGTGCAAATGCACGCGCAAACCGGTCACCCCCACCTGCGCACACTGGCTGCTGAGCGCTCACCTCGGTCAGTGTGTCGGGCGGCAGCGCGCCCGGCGCGGTGTTCTGCTTCTTGAGGCGGCGCAGCAGCTCCAGGCGCTCCCGCTCGCGCTCCACCGCGCGCTGGGCCTCGCGCAGCCGCTCCAGGTCGTGCTGGTAGGCCTGGCGCTGGCGCTCTAGCTCGGCGCGCTCCTGCTCCAGCCGCTCGCGTAGCTGCCGCGCCTCGCCCTCGCGCTCCTGCAGCAGGGCGCTCGCACGCTCCAGCTCCTGTTGCTGCCACTGGCGCTCGCGCTCCCAGCGCTGCTGGTCCTGCCGCAGCTGGCTCTGCAGCTTCTCCACGGCCGCGCGCTCCTCCCGCTGCTTCTCGAAGTTGCGCTGCCGCTCCTGCTCCAGCAGCAGGTTCCCACGCGTGGACTGCAGCCGGAACTGCTTCTCGCGCTCCAGGATGGCTGCCCGCTGCGTCTCTACATAGCTGTCCTGGTGGGTGATGACCGCCTGCGGAGGGCCAGGGCCAGGTGGGTGAGAGCCGCACCCGCGCCCCAGCCAACCAGGAAAGGGCACGTGTCGCCGGCCCCACCCCGCCCCTGTACCTGGAGGTTCAGGAGCAGCTGGGACAGTGTCTGGATCCGCTGGACAAGCTGCGGGGAGGAGAGGGACATTGATGCCAGTTCTCGGGCCTGAGGCCACAGGCGCGTGTACACGGCCCCGGGGAGATGGACAGCGGGCGCCTACCTCCAACTCCAGCGCGGTGGGTAGACGGGAATCAGATTCCGTGCCTGGCGCCTCCACCTGGGAAGAGGACACCATCAAACCACAGAGAACGCTCAAGACCCATCCGACTAGACCCAAGCCTGCTGCTGCTGCTGCTGCTGTTTTTTTTTTTTTTTAGTTGTTTTTTTGCTCTTGTTGCTCCAGCTGGAGTGCAATGGCGCAATCTCGGCTCACTGCACCCTCCTGCTTCTGGGTTCAAGTGATTCTCCTGCCTCAGCCTGCCGAGTAATTGGGATTATAGGCGCGCACCTTCACGCCTGGCTAATTTTGTGTTTTTTAAGTAGAAACGGAGTTTCACCATGTTGGCCAGGCTGGTCTCAAACTCCTGACCTCAGGTGATCTGCCCGCCTCGGTCTCCCAAAGTGCTGGGATTACAGGCGTGAGCCACCATGCCCTGCTTCTGTTTTTTTTTTTTTTTTTTTTTGAGGCAGGGTCTTGCTCTAGAGTGTAGTGGCCTGATCCTCCCACCTCAGTCTCCTGAGTAGCTGGGACTACAGGTGTGCACCACCCGGATCAGCTTTTTGTAATTTTTTTTTTTTGAGATGGAGTTTTGCTCGTTGCCCAGACTGGAGTGCAATGGCACGATCTCAGCTCACTGCAACCACCACCTTCCTGGTTCAAGTGATTCTCCTGCCTCAGACTCCCAAATAGCTGGGATTGCTCGCATGCGCCACCACGCCCGGCTAATGTTGTATTTTTAGTAGAGTCAGGGTTTCACCATGTTGATCAGGCTAGTCTTGAATTCCTGACCTCAGGTGATCCACCTGCCTTGGCTTCCCACAGTGCTGGGATTACAGGCGTGAGCCAACACGCCCAGCAGCTACTTTTAACTTTTTTGAAACAAAGTCTTGCTCTGTCGCCCAGGCTAGAGTGCAGTGGCACAATCTCGGCTCACTGCAACCTCCACCTCCTGGGTTCAAGCGATTCTCCCACCTAAGCCTCCTGAGTAGCTGGGATTACAGGTGTCCACCACCACGCCCAGCTAATTTTTGTATTTTTAGTAGAGACAGGGTTTCACCATGTTGGCCAGGCTGGTCTCAAACTCTGGACTCAAGTGATCCACCCGAGTCAGCCTTCTGAAGTGCTGGGATTATAGGCATGAACCACCGCACCTGGCCAAAGGATCAGCTATTTTAAAAATATTTTGTCGACGTGGTCTTGCTCTGTTGCCCAGGCTGGTCTCAAATGCATGGCCTCAAGTGATCCTCCCAAGGCCAGGTATGACAGCCTTGCCTGTAATCCCAACACTTTGGGAGGTCAAGACAGGAGGATTGCTTGAGCTCAGGAGTTGGAAACCAGCCTGGGCAACATACAGCCAATATCTACAAAAACTTAAAAAATTAGGCAGGTGTGGGGGCACGCACCTGTGGTCCCAGCTACTTGGGAGGCTGAGGTGGGAGGATTGCTGGACCCCAGGAGTTAGGTTGCATGAGCTGTGATCATGCTACTGCCCTCCGGCCTGGGTGACAGAGTGAGACCTTGTCTCCAAAAAAAAGAAAAAAAAAAAAGTGATCCTCCCACCCCGGTCTCCCAAAACACCAGGATTATGGGTGAGGCACTGCACCTGGCCCCTGCTTCTTACTGAAAATACATCCCTTAGTTTGGATAACAGGAAGGACCCAGGACCGGGACATGACTGGGAACACTGGCCCTGCCGGTCACCTGACTTGTGCAAATCTAGGTGTTTGGAAAATGAGGGGCTGGGACCACCTGGGAGGTAGAGTGGGCTTGGCTATAAGGCCTGCGTGCCAGCTCTGGCCACAGCGGCAAGTCCAAGCCTCAGAGCTGACCAGAGGCAGCTGGCCTGGGCCTCTGACTCCTAACCCGGGCAGGGCCGAGTAGGCACCTGGCCTTCTGATTCAAAGGCAAAGGAACAGCCAGGGAGATCTGGCATCTGGTAGGAGCCACCTCACCTGCCCTGGCTGAAACCTGGTGGTCCCTGTAGGGGAGTTTCTCGCCTGTTGATGAAGCCACCGTGAGTGCCCTGAGCCTGTCCCCTCCCCAGCCTTCCTCCTGGGGAACCTCTTGCTTTTCCCGGGAGGCTGCAGGAAGAACTCAGCTGCCAGCATGTTAATCTGGGCTGAGATACTGTTATTCACCACAAAACGAACCACGCTTGTCGATGCTGATAAGACTAAAACTAGACAACCCCAGCAGAAGCTGCTCACACGCGTGAATCCTTACGACGACTCAGACTGTACCGAGCAAACGGATATCCACGTACCACCTGCGGCGATTCCTCGGAGCCCCCAGGAACGTCAGTGTGACCGAGCTTCAAGTCCGGGCTGTTTGGGGGGCCTCGCCAGTCTCGGGGCCTGGGGTCGGTGCTGCTGACTTTCTTCTTGAAACTGCCATCTGAGAACCCCAAGCCAGAGGCGTGAGGCTGCTGCCATCCCATGGGGAGGGGAAACCTTCCCAGTCCACCCCCAGCCCCTGCCCAGGTAGGAAACCCAGGCTGGGCCCGAATGGAGGCGTCTGCAGCACAGACACCTGCTGGGGGGGTGGGCTGGTCTGGGTGCTGCTGTCACAACACAACCGACAATGTCTGCAGGGTTTCAGAAGGTTCCAGAAAACTGGCCGGGCGTGCTGGCTCACGCCTATGATCTCAGCACTTTGGGAGGCCGAGGCGGGTGGATCACCTGAAGTCAGGAGTTCGAGACCAGCCTGGCCAACATGGCGAAACCCTGTCTCTACTAAAAATACAAAAAGTAGCCGGGCGTGGTGGTGTGTGCTTGCTGTCCCAGCTACTTGGGAGGCTGAGGTGGGAGAATCACTTGAACCCGGGAGGTGAAGGTTGCAGAGAGCCGAGATTGCGCCACTGCACTCCAGCCTGGGCGACAGAGCGAGACCCTGTCTCAACAACAACAACAACAACAACAACAAAGAAGCTTCCAGGAAACCCCATACAAGCTAATGTGCGTCCTGAGGGGTGGCCCTGGGGCCGGGAGGGGCGATGGCCCCACTCTTACTCTTGGTAGGGCTGTTTGTGCAGTCGTAGCCCCCGAAGGTCTCGGCCCTCCTGGGCGGGCCTGTGGAGCTACCTCCGTCTTCCGCCTGGCTGTTGGCGCTGCCCAGCTGCCTGCAGATCAGGCTCTGGATGCCCTCAACTGTGGAAGGAAGGGGACAGGAGGCACGGGTCGCCCTGCGGAAGTGTGCGGAGGGAATATGGAGTGCTGGGGCAGTGAGACCGCGGCGGATGGAGGGACTCATTAGGGTGGTGATGGCCTGCCCCGCACTGTCTGCAATGGGATTTCAGCCCCACTGTCCCTGTGCACACCCCTACTTCAGGTATGGCCACCAGGACAGGCCAATCTGCATCTAAGTGAGAGGACAGGGCTGTAGGGCAGCCATGGGGAGGGCAGGTGCAGGCTCCTGCCGCACCTTCCACCAGGCCGCCCTGGGCCAGGGGCTGGCGAATGCTGGATATGGCCCTGCCCAGGGCCAGCAGGACACATTTGGTGTGCACAGAGGTGGGGACAAGAACATTCCAGGCCAAGGTGCGGGATATGAGCGTGTCCCCGGGGGCCAAGAATAACGGCCACTGGAGCCGGGTGGAAGGATGTCAGTGGGGCTGGAGGGGGAAAGACTGACCCCCGTCTCTGCCTTCTTACTCTGCGGAAAGGCTCTGGAAGGCAGGGGCTGTGTCGGCCTCCCTCACTGTTGAAAGAGCAGATTGGGGCAGGGCACGGCGGCTCACGCCCATAATCCCAGCACTTTGGGAGGCAGAGTGGGGTAGATCATCTGAGGTCAGGAGTTCAAGACCAGCCTGGCCAACATGGTGAAACCCAATCTCTACTAAATATACAAAAATTAGCTGGGCGTGGTGGCAGGTGCCTATAATCCCAGCTACGCGGGAGGCTGAGGCAGGAGAATCGCTTGAACCCAGGAGGTGGAGGTTGCAGTGAGCCGAGATCACGCCACTGTATTCCAGCTTGGGTGACAGAACGAGATTCCATCTCAAAAAAAAAAGAAAAAGAAAAAAAGAAAGAGCAGACTGGGCACTGACTGCCTGCCTAAGCGGCCAGCTCAGGGGCCTGGTGGCTGTCTTGGAGCGGCTGTGTTGGAGCGGCTGTGTTGGAGCGGCTGTGTTGGAGTGTTGGAAGAAAAAAAAAAAGAAAGAGCAGACTGGGCACTGACTGCTCAGCTCAAGCGGCCAGCTCAGGGCCTGGTGGCTGTCTTGGAGCGGCTGTGTTGGAGCGGCTGTGTTGGAGCCACAAAGCTGGAGTGTTGGAGCCGCTGTGTTGAGTGTTGGAGTGGCTGTGTTGGAGCTGCCGTGTTGGAGTGTTGAGTGGCTGTGTTGGAGCCGGCTGTGTTGAGGCAAGTTGGAGCGGCTGTGTTGGAGCCGGCTGTGTTGGAGCGGCTGTGTTGAGTTAATCATGTTGGAGCCGGCTGTGTTGGAGTGTTGGAGTGGCTGTAAGTTGGAGCGGCTGTGTTGGAGCGCTGTGTTGGAGTGGCTGTGTTGGAGTGTTGGAGTGGCTGTGTTGGAGCGGCTGTGTTGGAGTGTTGGAGTGGGGCTGTGTTGAGCGGCTGTGTTGGAGCGGCTGTTGGAGCCGGCTGTGTTGGAGCAAGCTGGATGCTGTGCTGGAGCGGCTGTGTTGGAGCGGCTGTGTTGGAGTGTGGCTGTGTTGGAGTGTTGGAGCCGGCTGTGTTGGAGCGGCGTGTGTTGGAGTGTTGCGGCTGTGTTGGAGCCGGCTGTTGGAGTGGCTGGGCTGTGGAGCGGCTGTGTTGGAGTGTTGGAGTGGCTGTGTTGGAGCGGCTGTGTTGGGAGTGTTGGAGTGGCTGTGTTGGAGCCGCTGTGTGTTGGAGTGTTGGAGCGGCTGTGCTGGAGTGGCTGTGTTGGAGCGCTGTGTTGGAGTGTTGGAGTGGCTGTGTTGGAGCCGGCTGGAGTGTTGGGAGTGGGCTGTGTTGGAGCGGCTGTGTTGAGCAAGTTGGAGTGGCTGTGTTGAGCGGCTGTGTGTTGGAGCCGGCTGTGTTGGAGCCGGCTGTGTGCTGGAGTGCTGGGAGCCGCTGTGTTGGAGTGGCTGTTGGAGCGGCTGTTGGAGTGTTGGAGTGGCTGTGTTGGAGCGGCTGTGTTGGAGTGTTGGAGCGGCTGTGTTGGAGCGGCTGTGTTGGAGTGTTGGGATGTACTGCTGGAGCGGCTGTGTTGGAGTGGCTGTGCTGGAGCGGCCGTGTTGAGTGTTGGAGTGGCTGTGTTGGAGCGGCTGTGTTGGAGTGTTGGAGCGGCTGTGTTGGAGCGGCTGTGTTGGAGTGGCTGTGTTGGAGTGGCTGTGTAGGAGCTGTGCTTGGGGAACCCCTGAGGGAGCATGCGTGTGTTCTTCTGGGGATATCACCAGAGACCCATCTCCCAGGAAGAAGAGGAACCTCTGATGGGTAGGGAACCAGTGTCAGTCAACTTCAGATCCTCCCCAGCCCGGCTTAGCGCCTCCGCATGCAGGGAGCATCAGAGCGGTTGTTGAATGGGGGGGAAGGTGTTTTATGTCTGCAAGGAGGGGCTGGCCCAGATTGTGTCTAAGGCCCTTCTGGCTCTAGCAGGCACCAGTCGGGGGGTCAGTGCTGCTCCTGGGCCCCCCGAGATAGAAGCCTGCCCTGGACAGAGTGCCGTGTTGGCCACACTGAGCCATGAGCCTGTCCTGGGGTCCCCTGAGCCCACCCAGGCAGGACTGCACCCTTGAGGTGTGGGCACCCAACTTACTCTCGCTCATGGCCGACTTGAGAATCAGCTCCCCCTGCAGGGTCTCGGATGGGTCCCCTCCACGGAATAGGCCTCGGGGCTGGGGCAGGTCTTCCAGGCCGCTCATCTCTGCCATCTCCAGGTAGATCTGCTGCTTCTCTAGGAGGCTCTGTGCAATCAGCTGGTCTTTCATGCTTAAGCGCTCTGCAGAGTGATGGTGGAGGCGGCAGTCAGCCTGGTCGGCCTTCCCTGGAATCGTCTGAGCCCCAGGGACTGGCCTAAGGATGAGGACCCCCGCTGACCCTGCTCTGAGATAGGCTGCCCCCTGCATCCTGCATTCCTGGGAGGTAGGGGAGGGCAAGGCCTTGTCCTCTGATTATTTTCCCCCTCGTTATAAAAATCAAGTTAGCTGTGGTGGCTCAGGCCTGCAATCCCAGCACTTAGGGAGGCCAAGGTAGGAGGATTCCTGCAGCCCGGAGTTCGAGACCAGCCTGGGCAACATAATGAGACTCTGTCTCTACAAAGAAATAAAACATTAGCTGGTTGTGGTGGTGCATGTCTGGGAAACGAGGCAGGAGGATTGCTTGAGCCCAGAAGTTCAAGGCTGCAGTGAGCTATGACTGCACTACTGTACTCCAGCCTGGCCAACAAAGCGAGACCCTGTCTCTAAAAGAAAGAAAATCAAACACAGTAGGGTGTGAGTGAGGATTGTATCAGGCCTGTTTATTAGTCTAGGACCAACTTAGAGCCTTAGAAAACTGGGTTTTCCTTCCTCCCTTTCTTTCTTTCCTTCTTTTTTGGAGAAGGAGTCTTGCTCTGTTGCCCAGGCTGGAGTGCAGTAGCACGATCTTGGCTCACTGCAACCTCCACCTCCCGGATTCAAGTGATTCTCCTGCCTCAGCCTCCCGAGTAGCTGGGACTACAGGCATGCGCCACCATGCCTGGCTAATTTTTTGTATTTTTAGTAGAAATGGGGTTCGCCATCTTGACTAGGCTGGTCTCAAATGCCTGACCTCAGGTGATCCACCCGCTTCGGCTTCCCAAAGTGCTGGGATTACAGGCATGAGCCACTGCACCCAGCCTAATGTTTAAATTTTTTGTAAAGACGGGGTTTCGCCATGCCGTCCAGTCTGGTCTCAAACTCCTGGCTTCCAGTGATCCATTTTCTTCAGCCTCACAAAATGCTGGGATTACAGGTATGAGCCAACATAGCAGGCCACTTACTATTTTAGTATTATCCAATTTAAAAATGAATAATACAGAGCCGGGCACACTGGCTCATGCCTGTAATCCCAGCACTTTGGGAGGCCGAGGCGGGCAGATCACGAGGTCAAGAGATCAAGACCACCCTGGCCAACATGGTGAAACCCTAAAAACTCTAAAATTCTCTACTAAAAACACAAAAATTAGCGGGGCATGGTGGCGTGCGCCTGTAGTCCCAGTTACTTGGGAAGCTGAGGCAGGAGAATCCCTTGGACCCGAGAGGCGGAGCTTGCAGTGAGCTGAGATCGTGACACTGCACTGCAGCCTGGTGACAGAGCAAGACTCCACCTCAAAAAAAAAGAAAAAAAAAGTACAGACAGTGAAAGGGAAGAAGGGAGCTTGCTATAGGCTACAGGGTACCAGGAACTGTTCTTGACAACGTGCTCACTGAACGCAGATGAACCTTGACAACATCACACCCAGCGAGAGAAGTCAGACCCAAAAGGTCGCACAGTGTGTGACTCCATTTATGTGGCATATCCAGGACAGGCCAATCCACAGGGACAGGAAGTAGATTCCTGTTGCCAGGGTTGGGGCACGGGGTGGGGAGTGACTGTTAAGGAGGAAGGGGCTTCTTTCTGGGGTGGTGGAATGTTCTAAAGTTAACGTGATTTTGGCTGCATAATTGGAAATGCACTAAAATGCCGCTGAACCCAACGCTTGGGGGGGTGAGTGGCGTGGTGTGTGAATTACATCTCAATAACGTAATTAAACAAACAGGGAGGAGGAAGCTCTGGAAGGAGGCTGTGGGGGCCCTGTGCTCTTCCTTCGTAGGGGACTGGGATGCCCTGTTGAGCTCCTGGCTGCACGAGGACAGGGTGGTGGCAGCGTTTTGTGGCTGCGTGGTCGGCTCTGGAAGGGGCTTAGGGCTCCTGAGCTCTCCTCCCTCCCTCTCCTACATACCCCCGCAGGGCTAAGTGACCTCTGGAGATCGCTATGTCATGGCACAGCCCAGTTCTAATGCTTCACAGAGCTGCAGGACATGGCACGACCCACAGGAAAACGCCGGGTCACTTGGGGGGCAGTCTGCCCTCTGTGGCCAACTCTGATGGGGGGCCCAGGGCTCACCACACACGGGGTGTGCCCAAAACGCCGTCTCCCCCTCACCTTGAAAGTCCCGGAGTCTTGTGGCGCGGGCCTCGACCACCTTCCTTTCCTCTTCGGGCAGGCTGAAGGGTCCCTGCTCCTCATCAGGACAGCTGCAGGGAGAGGAGTCAGGTGGGTAACTGTGCCTCCCAGGCAGGCCGCGCTCCCGCACAGACACTGGTTCTCTACAGAACCAGCCGCCACGACCATCTCTGACTGTGGGAGTGATTTAGCTTGTTCATGGTGCAGGAGGACGAGGAGGAGAAGAGAGAGAGCCACTGACACTCGTCCAGCCCCAAAGCGCCAGGGCATAACCAGGAAGAGACTTTACGTGCCTGTCTGTGACTTGGAGGAGGAGTCCAGGGGACGGCAGGCTTGCAAGGGATCTGCCAGGTGCAGATGGGTGGCTGCAAGCCCCACAGAGCTACAGCGACTGTGGATGGGGGAGTCTGAACCAGGCTAAGGCACCAGGAAGCCTCCAGGAATCAATAGAGGGAGTGGCCGGCCACGGTGGCTCATGCCTGTAATCCCAACACTTTAGGAGGCCAAGGCAGGAGGATGGCTTGAGGCCAGGAGTTCGAGACCAGCCACAGTGGCAACACAGTGAGGCCCCATCTCTACAAAAATCAAAAATCTAGCTGGGTGTGGTGGTGTGTGCCTGTAGTTCCAGCTACTTGGGAGGCTGAGTGGGAGGATGGCTTGAGTCCAGGAGTTTGGGATGCAGGAAGCTATGACTGTGCCAGTGCACTCCAGCCTGGGTGACCGAGCAAGAGCCCGACTCTAAAAAGCAAAACAAAACAAAACAAAATAGGCTGGGTGCAGTGGCTCACGCCTATAATCCCAGCTACTCGGGAGGCTGAGGCAGGAGAATCGCTTGAACCTGGGAGGCGGAGGCTGCAGTGAGCCGAGATTGCGCGACTGCACTCCAGCCTGGGGGACAGAGCGAGACTCTCAAAAAAAAAAAAAAAAAAAAAAGAAGAGGGGAAGCCAGCTGGTCCCGGGCCCTGAGGGGTGCTCAGCCCAAGGAGGAAGGACAAGATACCATGTCCTGCTCCAACAACTCTGGCCCTAGAATGCAAATAGCCCGCCATGTCAGGTGCAGTGGCCCACGAATGCAGAAAGGCCCAGGTTACAGCTGCCTTTCCAGGCCCGTTAGCCTCAACATCCAACAGGCTGAGTCATCAGAAGGAGCTGGCACAGCATCATGGGTCCCAAGGTGGGATGAGCGAATTCAAGGTCACAGCCGATGGCCAACCATCAAAGCCAAAGATGGACCAGTCAGCGGAAGGAATACAGGGAGTGGGGAGACCCTCCAGGCCCTCCTCACCTCTCCACGGCCCTTCGGATGTGGGCCATCCAGGCGTTCCTGTCCTCTTTGGAGCTCGTGTAGATTTCATACATCTCTGGCCCTTGCAAGGAAGCGCTGATCAGAAACATCGCTTTCTCCTCGTTGGCCACTTCCCTCACGATGAGCTTTTGTAACGAGATGACGGGTGGCTTTGAGTCCTGCATGGGTAAAGGGCATTGGGGAGGTCACCCTTTACCCCACCGCACCCAAACAGCAGTGAGGTCAAGGGCCTGGTAAGGGGAACGAAGAGTGGGGGTCACGCTCCTCGTTTCTTTTCAAACAATTCAAAGCAGAAATATTTTGCCATCTGGGGGAAAAAAGACGCTATTGCAATGAAATCCTAGAATCCTTTTTTTTTTTTTTTTTTTTTTTTAACTATCTTGGAGGCCAGGTCTTGCTCTGTAACCCAGGCTGGAGTGCAGTGGTGCAATCATTGCTCCCTGCAGCCTTGACCTCCTGGGCTCAAGTGATCCTCCCACCTCAGCCTCCTGAGTAGCTGGGATTATAGGCATGTGCCGCCAGGCCCAGCTAATTTTTGTATTTTTTGTAGAGATGGGATCTCACTATGTTGCCCAGGCTGGCCTTGAACTCCTAAGCTCCTCCTACCTTGGCCTTCCAAAGTGCTGAGATTACAGGAGTGAGCCATCTTGCCCCTTAGTATCCCGATAATGTGTCAATTTCATCAGCTTAAAAATTTTTTTTTAAAAATAGCAATGCACATACACACTACAAAGCTCAAAAGATACAACAGTGTGTAGTATAAAACAACAAATAAGCCTCTGTCTTGTGCCTCAGGCCACCCAGTCTGTCACGCATCCTTCAAGAGACAGTGCTTCCACAGACCCGCAAAATGCACATTTTAACTGGTTAGAGTGGGCTACACTGTGTTCTCCACAAATTCATATGAGGTCCTGACCCCCAGTACCTCAGAATGTGGCTGTCTTTGGAGATGAGGCCTTTATAGAGGAGATTAAGGTCTGGGTGCGGTGGCTCACTCCTGTAATCCCAGCACTTTGGGAGGCTGAGGCGGGTGGATCACTTAAGGTCAGGAGTTCGAGACCAGCCTGGCCAACATGGTGAAACCCCGTCTCTACCAAAAATACAAAAAGCAGCCGGGCGTGGTGGCAGGCGCCTGTAATCCCAGCTACTCAGGAGGCTGAGGCAGGAGAATCACTGGAACTCGGGAGGTGAAGGTTGTAATGAGTCAAGATTGTGCCACTGCACTCCAGCCTGGGTGACAGAGTGAGACTCTCTCAAAAAAAAAAAAAAAAAAAAAAAAAAAAAGGCAATATGAGGTCATATGGGTGGGCCCAAATCCAATCTGACTGGCATCCTTCTAACAAGAGGAGATTAGCACAGAGACACACACAGAGGGATGGCCACGCGAGGACACAGAGAACAGACGAGCAGATGGCTGTCTACAAGCCAAGGGGTCTCAGAAGAAACCAACCCTGCCGACACCTTGATCTTGGACTTTCAGCCTGCAGAAACGTGAGACGATAAATTTATGTGGTCTAAACCACCAGTCCGTGGTACTTTGTTTACAGCAGCCTCAGCAAACAAATACACTGGTTAACAACACACCAGCAGCTGGGCGTGGTGGCTCACGTCTGTAATCCCATCACTTTGGGAGGCCAAGGTGGGCGGATCACTTGAGGTTAGGAGTTGGAGACCAGCCTGGCCCACATGGTGAAACCCCATCTCTACTAAAAATACAAAAAATTAGCCAGGCGTGGTGGCGGGCGCCTGTAGTCCCACCTACGTGGGCCTGGGAAACTCACAGGGGCACCTTTCACGGTCAGTTTCAGCCAACCTCTCAACAAGGTCCCAGCAAGCAGGGCCCTTTGTCTGTTTTTTTGTTTGTTTTTTTGTTTTGAGATAGAGTCTCACTCTGTTGCCCAGGCGGGAGAGCAGTGACACAATCTTGCTGGAGTGCAGTGGCACAATCTCAGCTCACTGCAACCTTCGCCTCCTGGGTTCAGGTGATTATCCTGCCTCAGCCTCCTGTGTAGCTGGGACTACAGACATGGGCCACCATGTCTGGCTAATTGTTGTATTTTTAGGAGAGGTGAGGTTTCACCATGTTGGCCAGGCTGGACTTGAGCTCCTTCAAGTGATCCGCCCACCTCGGCCTCCCAAAGTGCTGGGATTATAGGCGTGAGCCACTGCACCCGGCCGACCCGGGTGAAGAGACAGGATACATACCACAGAAGCAAAGACGTATTTCTGATCTTTTTCTTGTAGCAGCAAAAGTACGTCGGTCAGCAGGACGGCCAGGACATCTGGGAAAATAGCATGGAAGGAGGCATCTTAAAAGTCCCATGGCCAGCAGGTCTTGCTGGGCACCCCCGTGGATGCCACCTCCCAGAAAGGTGTAAGCAGCGTGATGCTCCTGCCTGGGCCTAGAAGTTTCCTTTCTGCCTTGCCTGCATGCGCCCCCCAACACCTTTCCAGGTCTCAACCTTCAGCACCAACGAGCAGCTGGAGCCTCCTCTAAGTCCCTTCCGTGTCCAGAGCTCCAACCAGGGCTCCTGCCCATGTCAGGCCACTGGGCTCCACAGTTCTCTTTGCTGTAACAACATCTGCTGGATCTGACTTTTGAGAGTCTGATATGGTTTGGCCGCATCCCCATCCACATCTCATCTTGAATTCCCACGTGCTATAAGAGGGACCCAGGGGGAGGTAACTGAATCATGGGGGCAGATCTTTTCCATGCTGTTCTCGTGATAGTGAATGAGTCTCACAAGATCTGACAGTTTTATAAGGGGGAGTTTCCCTGCACAAGCTCCCTCTCTCTTTGCCTGCTGCCATCCATGTAAGACGTGACTTGCTCCTCCTGCCTTCTGCCATGATTGTGAGGCCTTCCCCACCAGGTGGAACTGTAAGTCTATTAAACCTCTTTCTTTGGTAAGTTGCTCAGTCTCGGGTATGTCTTTATTAGCAGTGTGAACACAGACTAATACAGCATCTCTCCCTCTGACTTCTCAGATGTGAATGGAGCTCTCTGTTCTCCCTGCTCCTGGGTCACCAGGACCCGAGCCACTGCAGCGATGCAGGCCAGGGGTGGTCTCAGTCCCCTCATGCCCCTCAGTCCCCCTTGCTGCTTTGTCCCTGTATGAACGTCTCATGCTGTAAGGCTTGTTGCACATAGATGCAAATCAAGAGCTGCGTTCAAGGGCAACACCACTTTTGGGGAGCTGCTTCTAACACCCCTGCCTAAGTCAGATACGCTTTCGCTAATTCTCTTGTATTGCAGTCTGCTGGCTTCCTTAAAGCATTTGCTGGACTTATAACTAGTTTTTCTGTTTGTTTGCTTGTTTCTCTCTTTCAGCCCGAGGGACTGATGCCCTAAAAGGCTGGGCACCAGGTCTTCCCAGTGGGGTGTATTCCTACCATCCAACTTGGCACCTGGCAGGCAGAAGGCGCTAAACCTGTCTGCCAAATACATGCCTACTCAAATGGTGAGTGGGCAAATGCTGTCATTTGGCCACTTCAATGACTCCCTCAAGATCCTTAAAGATGCTGATGCAAATAGATAGCTTGGGATGTTTCTAGAGGCTCCAAAAATGAAAAGGAAACCCAGGGATGAATCCTCAGTACTCTGTGGTCTGAACTGCAACATGGGTCTCGAAAGCAGGGCTCGGAGCACAGCCTGGGCAGCAAGTGGGATGCCTGGGGACACTGACCAGCAGTCCTGGGGGTATTCTCTATCCATATGGGGGCCTCTCAGTGGCTGGGCCCACGGCAGGCTGGCCCATGACTGCCCAGATGGGCAGCTGAGCGGGTTTGGAATTCTGGACCCAAACCTGGGGTGTCACGATGTGTCACCAATGCCCTGGGTTTCCACTTGGAAGTCAACGACTCAGCATGGCCTCCTTGTTTGTACTGCATCCTTTCAAAGACCAGAGGAGGAGGATGGTGATACATCCACCTCTTTTATGCTACACCCCAGCTGCCTTGCTCATCCTGACTCAGTTCATAACCTCCCTTCAGCCATGAAGTAGCCAGACTTCAGTGGTTCTGTGTCAGCTGACACCCAGCAAACCAAGATGGTGCCCACCGATATAAGAGGGCACCCACTGATCCGAGATGATGCCACCACTCTTCAGACCATGCCACCAGTCTGAGGTGGCACCCACCAATCAAAGATGGTGCCATCACTCCCAAGACCACGTCACTGATCTGAGATGGCACCCACCAATCAAAATGGTGCCCACTGATCCAAGAGGGAGCCCACTGATCAAGATGATGCCACCATTCCAAGATGGTGCCCATTGATCCAAGATGGTATTCACTGATCCAGGATGATGTCATTACTTCCAAGACTATGCCATCAATCCAAGATGGCACCCCCCAAGATAGCACCCACTGATCCAAGATGGTGCTATCATTCCCAAGACCGTGCCACCAATCCAAGATGGCACCCCCCAAGATGGCACCCACTGATCCAAGATGGTGCTATCATTCCCAAGACCGTGCCACCAATCCAAGATGGCACCCACCAACCCAAATGGTGCCTACTGATTCAAGAGGGCACCCACCAAGATGGTGCCACTGATCCAAGATGGTACTACCATTCCCAAGACTGTACGACCAATCCAAGATGGCACCTACCACTCTAAGAGGGTGCCCACAACTCCCAAGATAGTGCCACTGATCCAAGATGGCACCCACCAATCCAATATGGTGCCACCACTCCAAGATGGTGCTGCTAATCCAATATGGCACCCACCAATCCAAGATGATGTCTACTGATCCAACATGGCACCCACAACTCCCAAGATGGTGCTACCAACCCAAGACAGCACCCACCAACCAATTTAGTGCCACCAATCCAACATGGCACCCACCAATAAAAAATGGCAACCAACACTCCAAAACGGTACCCACTGATAACAGGATAGTGCCACCAATCAAGAGAGTACCCACCACTTTGAGACGGTGACCACCTCTCCAAGATGGTACCCACTGATACAAGATGGTGCCACTAATCTAAGACAGTGCCCACTGATCCAAGATGGCACCCACTAGAGGTGCCAGGGGCAGGCCTTTACCTTTCAAGCGCCCTGATGTGGTCTTCCAGCAGAGCATGCCCTCCAGGTGAAGCTGCCGCTGAAGCATGTCTTCCTTGCGGAAGGTGAGCCCGTTCTTGAGTTTGCCGGAGGACTTCAGGTCCATCTTCCCTGCGATCTCCCTGAGGCGCTGGCCCTTCTCAAACTCGCTGACCTTGGCGTCCACTTGTGAAATGATATCTTTAATGAGGTTCAGGGCCTGGGTCAGGTCTTCGTAGTCCTCAGTGCCAGCTGCCACACATAGCAGAGTTAGCGTCTTTGTTTTCCACTTTAACGCAACAGAAGTGGGCACACTCACTATGTATGGGCGTGTGGGATCTATGAGGTGTGTGGACACACTCACTATGGGTGTGTGGGATCTATGAGGTGTGTGGACACACTATGGGTGTGTGGGATCTATGAGGTGTGTGGACACAGTATGGGTGTGTGAGATCTATGAGGTATGTGGACACACTATGTATGTGTGTGTGGGATCTATGAGGTGTGTGGACACACTATGTATGGGTGTGTGGGATCTATGAGGCATGTGGACACAGTATGGGTGTGTGGGATCTATGAGGTGTGTGGACTCACTATGTATGAGCGTGTGGAATCTAGGAGGTGTGTTCTCCAAGGCCACCACTCAGAAGACCCTCAAGATCACTTCCCAACTGTAATCTCCCGAGATGCAAATACTTCTCCAAAATAAATGCAACACCTCAGAGTTTAGTTTTCTGGTTTTGGCGGAGGGAAGGGGGATGAAGTCTGGCTCTGTCATCCAGGCTAGAGTACAATCTCAGCTCACTGCAACCTGTCTCCCAGGTTCAAGCGATTCTCCTGCCTCAGTCTGCCGAGTAGTTGGGATTACAGGCACCCGTCACCACGCCCAACTACTTTTTTTGGTATTTTTAGTAGAGACAGGGTTTCACTGTGTTGGCCAGGCTGGTCTCAAACTCGTGACCTCAAGTGATCTGCCTGCCTCAGCCTCCCAAAGTGCTGGGATTACAGGCATGAGATACCATGCCTGGCTCAGAGTTTAGTTTTTATCCAGGTATAGCTTCTATCAAATGCGGAAGCTAAGGTGCAATTCAAGTGGCAAAACTGCCACGACTAGCTCTGCCATCTACTGCTTGGTAAACACACTCTCCTCTGTCCCAATCCCTTCATAAAAGACTCCCAGCTGGGCATGGTGGCTCACACCTGTAATCCCAGCACTCTGGGAGGCTGAGGGGGGCGGATCACCGGTGGTCGGGAGTTCAAGACCAGCCTGACCAACATGGAGAAACCTCGTCTCTACTAAAAATACAAAAATTTGCCAGGAGTGGTGGCGCATGCCTATAATCCCAGCTACTCGGGAGGCTGAGGCAGGAGAACCACTTGAACCCGGGAGGTGGAGGTTGTGGTGAGCTGAGATTGTGCCACTGCACTCTAGCCTGGGCAATAAGAGTGAAACTCCGTCTTAAAATAAATAAATAAATAAATAAATAAACAAATAAATAAATAAATAAATAAATTTAAAAAATGAAAAGACTCCCTCCACCTCCTGTTGTGACTGGGATCTGGCTCCTCCCACTCCAAGGATGTAGCTTTTATAGCGGGAAAACTTGTTCATCCTCTCACGGCCTGAATTCACTGGTGAAGCGAGAGCTATGGTCAGCATGGCCCTGGCTCCCACAATTCCTGGCTGGACTGCCTGCCCTTCTCTGCCTCCCTGGCTCCAGGCACATTCCTTGCTCAGCCCTGGGCATGTGACACAGAGGCCATGTCTAGGTCTATCTGAACCACCAGGGCACCATCTCCATCCATTCATCCTTTCCACAGACACTGACACTGAGGGCCTGCACGGGACCAGCCTGTGCTAGGGGCTGGGGGAAACAGTTGGCAAATAAAACCTAGCTCCTTCTTTCATGGTGTTGACCACCCCATCTTTCTTGCATCAAAAACCCCAGGCCAGGCCAGGCTGGGTGTGGTGCGGTGGCTCACACCTGTAATCCCAGCACTTTGGGAGGCCAAGGTGGGCGGATCATTTGAGGTCAGAAGTTCAAGACCAGCCTGACAAACACGGTGAATACCCATCTCTACTACAAATACCAAAATTAGCTAGATGTGGTGGCGGGCGCCTGTAACCCCAGCTACTCAGGAGGCTGAGGCAGGAGAATCGCTTGAACCTGGGAAGTGGAGATGGCAGTGAGCCGAGATGGTGCCACTGCACTCCAGCCTGGGGGACAGAGTGAGACTCTGTCTCAAAACAAAACAAAACCCAGGCCAGACGTGATGGCTCATGTCTGTAATCCCAGCACTTTGGAGAGACCGAGGCGGGAGGACCACTTGAACCCAGGAGTTCCGGAACAGCCCGGGCAACACAGCAAGACCCCGTCTCTAAAAAAAAAAAAAAATTTGTTTTTTAATTAACTGGGTGTAGTGCCATGTACCTGTAGTCCCAGGTGCTTGGGAGGCTGAGGTAGGAGGATCACTTGAGTCCTGGAGTTGGAGGCTACAATGAACTATGATTTCACCACTACACTCCAGCCTGGGCAACAGAGTGAGACTTTGTCTCTTTAAAAAAAGAAAAAAAAGGCCAGGCGCGGTGGCTCAAGCCTGTAATCCCAGCACTTTGGGAGGCCAAGACAGGCGGATCATGAAGTCAGGAAATCGAGACCATCCTGGCTAACATGGTAAAACCCCATCTCTACTAAAAAATACAAAAAACTAGCCGGGCGCGGTGGCGGGCGCCTGTAGTCCCAGCTACTCAGGAGGCTGAGGCAGGAGAATGGCGTAAACCTGGGAGGTGGAGCTTGCAGTGAGCTGAGATCTGGCCACTGTACTCCAGCCTGGGCGACAGAGTGAGACTCCGTCTCAAAAAATAAAAAAAGAAAAAAAAAGGAACCCCAGCACCCAGCAAAGTGGATTCCCAAGGGAATTTATCCAGTCCGCTGCTAAATAGGGAGTGGGTGCACAGTGAGAGCCCCATGCTGCAGCAGCACAGGCAGGCGGGGCAGTGGGGAGAAGGCCTACCTTCCGTGTTCTGGATGATGCGCTCCACCAGCACTGGGTATTTGGTTATGCGCTGTGTAACCAGGAGAATGCACTCCTGCACACCAAGCCGGCGCACGATGGAGAAGTTGCCGATTTTCTAGGAAACAGACAGCAAGATCCCACATTAACATCTCCGAAACGGACAGCAAGGGCCCGCATTAATATCTTGGAAATGGACAGCCAGATCCCGAATTAACATCTCGGAAATGGACAGCAAGATCCCGCATTAACATCTCAGAAACGGACAGCCAGAGCCCGCATTAACATCTCGGAAACGGAGAGCCAGATCCCGCATTAACGTCTCGGAAACGGAGAGCCAGATCCCGCATTAACGTCTCGGAAACGGACAGCCAGAGCCCGCGTTAACGTCTCGGAAACGGAAAGCCAGATCTCGCATTAACATCTCGGAAACGGAAAGCCAGATCCCGCATTAATGTCTTGGAAACGGAAAGCCAGATCCCGCATTAATGTCTTGGAAAGCCAGATCACGTTAATGTCTAGGAAGCGGAGAAAGCCCAGATCCGTTAACGTCTCGAAACGGACAGCAGAATCCGCATTAACATCTCCAGAAAGCGGACAGCAAGGGCCCCGCATTAACATCTTGGAAATGGAAAGCCAGATCCCGCATTAACATCTCGGAAATGGTGCATCCACGCATTAACATCTCGGGGAAACGGACAGCCCAGATCCGGCAACATCTCGCGGAAAGCCAGATCCGCTTTAACATCTTGAAATGGACAGCCGCATCCCGCATTAACATCTACGGAAACAGCCAGCCAGATCCCGCATTAACATCTCGGAAACGGACAGCCAGATCCCGCTTTGTCTCGCGAAGAAGCCAGATCCTTTAACATCTCAGAAGCTTGAACAGCAAGGGCCCTTATTAACATCTAGGAAATGAAGCCAGATCCATATTATAACATCTTGACGGCTTGGATCACATTAACATCTGGAAACAGACAGCCAGATCCCGCATTAACATCTCGGAAATGCAAAGCCAGATCCCGCATTAACATCTTGGAAACGGAAAGCCAGATCCGTGGCGTCTGCGGAAGCGGAAGCCCAAATCCGCATTGCGTCTCGGAAAGCTGAAAAGCCGTCCCGCATGCATCTGACGAAAACCAAATCCGCGTAACATCTGAAAGCAGAAAAGCGAATCCGCATGCGTCCGGCGGAAGCCCGAACCCCCGTATGTCTCGGGAAAGCGGAAAGCCAGATCCGCATTAATGTGGCAGAAGCGAGAGAAAGCCAGATTCCTTTGCGTCGGAAGCGGAAGCCAGATCGCATTAATGTCTTGAAGCGAGCCAGATCCACGTTAACATCTCGGAAATGAACGGCAGATCCCGTTAACGTCTCGGAAATGAACAGCCCAGATCCCGCATTAACATCTCGGAAATGACAGCAAGATCCGCATTAACATCTACGAGGAAACGGACAGCAAGATCCACGCATTAACATCTCGAAAGCGGACAGCAAGGGCCCGCATTAACATCTCGGAAGCGAAGCCAGATCCGCATTAACATCTTGGAAACGGACAGCCAGATCCGCATTAACATCTGGAAATGGAAAGCCAGATCCGCATTAACATCTCGGAAATGGACAGCCAGATCCTAACATCTCAAGCAGCGGAGCCCAGATCCGCATTAACATCTGGAAGCGAAGCCAGATCCGCATTAACATCGCAGAAATGGATGCTTCCAGCGCCCGCATGCTATCTGAAAGCAGACAGCGAATCCGCATGCTATCTCAAACGCAGACAGCAAAATCCGCATGCTATCTCAGAAAGCGGACAGCGAATCGCATTAACATCTCAGAAGGTAGGATAAGCGTTGACGTGGCGGTGGACGTCGGTGGCATCTAGAATGGACGGCCAGATCCGCATTAACATCTCCAGAAGCAGTTAGATCCGCATTAACATCTCGGGAAAGCGAAGCCAGATCCGCATTAACATCTCGGAAACGAAGCCAGATCCCTTTGTTAACATCCGCATTAACATCTCGGAAACGGAAAGCCAGATCCCGCATTAACATCTTGGAAACAGACAGCCGCATCCCGCATTAACATCTCGGAAACGGACAGCCAGATCCCGCATTAACATCTCGGAAACGGACAGCCAGATCCCGCTTTAACATCTTGAAAACGGAAAGCCAGATCCCGCTTTAACATCTCAGAAACGGACAGCAAGGGCCCCTTATTAACATCTCGGAAATGGAAAGCCAGATCCTGCATTAACATCTTGGAAACGGAAAGCCGGATCCCACATTAACATCTCGGAAACAGACAGCCAGATCCCGCATTAACATCTCGGAAACGGAAAGCCGGATCCCTCATTAACATCTCGGAAATGGACAGCCAGATCCTGCATTAACATCTCGAAAACGGAAAACAAGAGCCCGCATTAACATCTCGGAAACAGACAGCCAGATCCCGCATTAACATCTCGGAAATGGACAGCCAGATCCTGCATTAACATCTCGGAAACGGAAAGCAAGAGCCCACATTAACATCTCGGAAATGGACAGCCAGATCCCGCATTAACATCTCGGAAATGCAAAGCCAGATCCCGCATTAACATCTCGGAAATGGACAGCCAGATCCCGCATTAACGTCTCGGAAACGGAAAGTCAGATCCCGCATTAACATCTCGGAAACGGAAAGCCAGATCCCGCATTAACATCTCGGAAAAGGAAAGCCAGATCCCGCATTAACATCTCGGAAACGGAAAGCCAGACCCCGCATTAATGTCTTGGAAACGGAAAGCCAGATCCCGCATTAATGTCTTGGAAACAGAAAGCCAGATCCCGCATTAACATCTTGGAAATGGACAGCAAGGGCCCGCATTGACATCTCGGAAATGGAAAGCCAGATCCCGCATTAACGTCTCGGAAATGGAAAGCCAGATCCCGCATTAACGTCTCAGAAACGGACAGCAAGATCCCGCATTAACATCTCGGAAACGGACAGCCGGATCCCACATTAACATCTCGGAAATGGACAGTAAGGGCCCGCATTAACATCTCGGAAATGGAAAGCCAGATCCCGCATTAACAGCTTGGAAACGAACAGCAAGAGCCCACATTAACATCGCAGAAATGGAAAGCCAGATCCCGCATTAACATCTCGGAAATGGAAAGCCAGATCCCGCATTAACATCTCGGCTCCTGCCCAATTAGTCAACAATCGGCTGCCAAGGCTGGGGGCTCCTTTCTTTCTCAGCTCACCAGGACCTTTCCTTTGCCACTTTGGAGGAGACAGACACCAGATATCTGAAAGCAGGGATCACCTGCTGTACACACAAAGGCCACCAAAGGCCAGATGTGGTGGTTCGTGCCTGTAATCCCACACTTTCGGAGGCCAAGGCAGGAGGAATTCTTGAGACCAGGAGTTTGAGACCAGCCTGGGCAACACAGCAAGACCTCATCTCTACAAAAAATTAAAATATTAGGTGGGCATGGGGGCACACTCCTGTAGTCCCAACTCCTCATGAAGCAGAGACAGGAGGCTTTGCTTGAGCCCAGGAGTTTGAGGCTGCAGTGAGCCATTGCACTCCAGCCTGGGCGACAGAGCAAGACCTGACTCTCAAAAAATAAAAGAAATGAGAACCAGCCAGGGGGTGGATATGGAAATCATCTGTCAAGCTGTCCACAAACACGATGTACAAATGAACACACACCGCCTAACCCATGACTGCTGGAACCCTCCAGAACTAGAGTGGGCTTGTGCCTTTTGGTTGGGTCCCTGGGTGTGATATTGGCTCACTGCAACCTCCGCCTCCCGAGTTTAAGCGATTCTCCCGTCTCAGCCTCCGAGTAGCTGGGATTACAGGCGTATGCCACCACACCTGGCTAATTTTTGTAGTTTTAGTAGAGATGAGGTTTCGCCATATTCCTCAGGCTGGTCTCAAACTCCTGGGCTCAAGTGATCCGCCTGCCTTGGCCTCCCCAAAAGTGCTGGGATTCCAAGCGTGAGCCACCGCACCCAGCCTGGGTGCTTTCTGACGCTCACCTCTGGCTAAGAACCAAAAGCGGTCACCCGACGCCCTCTCGGGAGCACAGCACATTTTCTGCTTGTTTGCTCCCGCTGCTCTTGTGTCCATTTTAGGGATGCCAGCACTTGCAAAGAGCCACTGAAGAGGCCCAGAGCCGCTGTGGGATTTGCAAGAGTCCGTGATGGAGGCTTCACTGGCATCCCCCTCCTGGCTTCGAGGAACTGCGGCTCCAAAACGATCCTCTCCCTTTCCCACCTACCCTATAACACAGTGAAGTTTAAATGCATGTCACTCCTAACTTTGGACCACTGGGCGTAGAATGCCACTGCAGAATCAAGTCCTGGCCAGGCCACAGGTGATGCAGCTCTTGTGGAATCAGCGGTGTGAGGGCCTCTAAAGAGGTGAATGTTGATAGAACTAACCAGCCACCATCCAAGTGCGGTTTCTAGGATGCGGGAGGTGGGGTCTCCTTTGACTTGGCTGACTCTGGCTGGGCTTCGAGCACCTACCCACACTCACACAAAGGAGGCAGGAAGATCCATCTACAGGCTCCGGGGGCGAACACGGACCAGCAAGGGGACAAAGGCTTGGAGTAACCCTCCTTTTTTTATTTTGTATTTTTTTGAGGCGGAGTTTCGCTCTTGTTCCCCAGGTTGGAGTGCAGTGGTGTGATCTCGGCTCACTGCAACCTCTGCCTCCTGGCTTCAAGCGATTCTCCTGCTTCGGCCTCCCAAGGAGGTGGGATTACAGGTGCGTGTTACCACGCCTGGCTAATTTTTTGTAGTTTTAGTAAAGACGGGATTTTGTCATATTGGGTAGACTGGTATCAAACTCCTGACTTCAGGTGATCTGCCCGCCTTGGCCTCCCAAAGTTACAGGGATTACAGGTGTGAGCCACCGCACCCAGCTGGAATAACCCTCCTTAAGACAGACAGCATCCCCAAGGCAAAACAGGCCGGCTCTGGAGGGCCAGTTCCTGGGGCAGGGCAGCCCCTTCAAACAATCCTTTGTGTCATCCAAACAGTGATGACACAGTGATGGTCAGCAGGTCCCATGCTGAGGGCTGCAGGGATCTCTCAGGGCCCACTGTGGCCTGGCAAGGAACAAAGTCTAGACGTGCTTTCTTTGATTGATTTTGTTAATATGTGTATGTGTATATTTATATATTTTATATAATAGAGATGGGATCTTGCTATGTTGCCCAGGCTGGTCTTAAACGCCTGAGCTCAACTGATTTTCCCTCTTTAGCTGCTGGAGTAGCGAGGGTTACAGGTGTGCACTAACATGCCTGGCTAATTTTTAAATTTTTTGTAGAGACAGGATCTTGCTATGTTGCCCAGGCTGGTCTCAAACTCCTGGCCTCAAGCGATCCTCCCGCCTTGGCCTCCAGATGTGCTGGATTTACAGGCATGAGGCATTGCATCTGGCCTGCTTTATTTTACATCTCAGGATTCTACGTAAGATTTCACTGATGTGTTCTGAATGGAGTTGTGGTTAAAACCCAAACCAAACCTTGAAAATCACTGCTACATAACAAATGCCTTATAATTCCCAAGTCCCAAGACTCTACAATTCTGTGGAAAAACTCGACAGTGAAGAATATAAGTTTTTGTTTTTTGTTTTTGAGATGGAGTCTTGCTCTGTCACCAGGCTGGAACGCAGTGGCGTGATCGCAGCTCACTGAAACCTTCGCTTCCTAGGTTTAAGCGATTCCTCTGCCTCAGCCTCCCAAGTAGCTGGGATTACAGATGCGTGCCACCACGCCCGGCTAATATTTTGTATTTTAATAGAGATGGGGTTTCACCATGTTGGCCAGGACGGTCTCGATCTCCTGACCTCATGATCCGCCCGCCTTGGTCTCCCAAAGTGCTGGGATTACAGGCGTAAGCCCCTGAGCCCGGCCAGAATATAAGTTTTTGATTTAAAAAAAAAAAATTGTTTTTACCTTGATCAAGTTTTGAAATTTCTTGTTTTGCTGAAGCAGCAACTTGTAATGACTAACAGCTTCATTGTGGCCACTACAAAACACACCATACTTTTCTTTCATTCTCTCCCCATTTTCACCTGAAAACTGATAGACAAAAGAACAGAAATGTCAATTAAACACGAAAACTGCCAAAGTATATTTTCATCTAATTCATCTGACTCTGCTAAAATAAATATCGATTTATTTGCAATTCCACTTTATTCATTCATTTATTTATTTATTTATTTATTTATTTATTTATTTTTTAGAGACAGCATCTTGCTCTGTGGCTCAGGATGAAGTGCAGTGGCACGATCTCAGCTCACTGCAACCTCCACCTCCTGGGTTCAAGTGATGCTCCTGCTGTAGCCTCCTGAGTAGCTGGGATTACAGGTGCCGCCACCATGCCCAGCTAATTTGTTTTTAGACAGAGTCTCGCTCTGTTGCCCAGGCTGGGGTGCAGTGGCGTGATCTTGGCTCACTGCAACCTCCACCTTCCGGGGTCAAGTGATTCTCCTGCCTGAGCCTCCTGAGTAGCTGAGATTACAGGTGTGCACCACTATGCCCGGCTAATTTTTGTATTTTTAGTAGAGACCAGGTTTCACCATGTTGGTCAGACTGGTCTCGAACTCCTGACCTCTTGATCCGCCCCCCTCGGCTTCCCAATCCTATAAGCTGGGATTATAGGCGTGAGCCACCGTGCCTGGCCAGCCAAAGCATATTTTCATCTAATTCATCTGACTCTGCTAAAATAAATATTAGATTTATTTACAATTCCATTTTCTTTCTCCCTTTTATTTTTTAGAGACAGCATCTTGCTCTGTGGCTCAGGCTGGAGTGCAAGGGTGCGATCTCAGCTCACTGCAACCTCCGCCTCACGGGTTTGAGCGATTCTCCTGCCACAGCCTCCTGAGTAGTTGGGGATTACAGGTGCCGCCACCACATCCGGCTAATTTTTAATTTTTTTTTTTAGTAGAGATAGTGTTTCACCATGTTGGTCAGGCTGGCCTTGAACTCGTAACCTCAAGGGATCCACCCCCCTCAGCCTCCCAAACTGTTGGGGTTACAGGTGTGAGCCACAGCGCCCAGCTGCAGCTCCACTTTCTAATACGTCCTCAAACAGAGAAATGCTTCAGTTTGGGGCATCTAATCACAAGGTGTCAAAAAGGTAAAATTAAAAAACCTTCTGCTTCGGGGCTTTGCTACATCACAGAAGCTGTAAAACTTCCTGAGAGCCGAGGAAAAAAGTAAACGCCAGCCAAAGGACGTTAGAAACATAAAAAGCAGGCTGGGTGCAGTGGCTCACACACGTAATCCCAGCAGTTTGGGAGACTGAGGCAGGCGGATCACTTGAGGTCAAGAGTTCGAGACCAGCCTGGCCAACATGGTGAAACCCTGTCTCTACTAAAAATACAAAAAAATTAGCCAGGTGTGGTGGTGGGCACCTGTAATCCCAGCTACTCGGGAGGCTGAGGCATGAGAATTGCTTGAACCTGGGAGGTGGAGGTTGCAGTGAGCCGACATCATGCCACTGCACTCCAGCCTGGACAACAGGGTGAGACTTCATCTCAAAAAAAAGAAACATAAAAAGCAAAAGGAGTGTTCTTCTAATGAGTTGGCCCAGGATGCTTTGAGCAAATAGTTCGACGTCACACGAGGGGCACAGCTCCCCTGGGTAAATCTTGGCCTAGGGTGATCATTTGGGGTTAATACCACTACCATGGATGGTGCTGGTCCACAGGTATGCTTCCCTGCTTCCCCCCTCCCTCCCGATATGGGGTCTTGCTCTGTTGCCCAGGCTGGAGGGCAGTGGCATGATCATAGCTCACTGCAGCCTTGACCTCCCATGCTCAAGCAATCCTCCCTCCTCAGCCTCCTGAGTAGCTGGGACTACAGCTATACGCCACCATGGCTGGCTAATTTATTTTCACGTTTTGTAGACACGGGGTCTTGCTATGTTGCCCAGGCTGGTCTGGAACTCCTAGGCTCGAGTAATTCACCTGCTTGGCCTCCCACAGTGTTGGGATTACAGGTGTGGGCCACTGCACTCAGTCAATAGGCATATTTTGAATGGTGGAAAGCATAAGTGATTTGAACCAAAAAACAAAAACCAACCAACCAAACGAGCATAGAAGAATGTAACACTGAATAGAGTTCAGCCAGGGACACTGGCTAATTTAGGCCTCTGTGTTTCTAGAATATGAACTGCAGGCATCGCTATAAGGGGCCCAGAGCTGTGTGTCCTCAGGGGAGCAGGTACTCAACAAACAGGAGCAACTCTCGTTTCATTATTCAAAGGAACAGGCCGGCACAATGGCTCACGCCTGTCATCTCTGCACTTTGGGAGGCCGAGGAGGGAGGATTGCTTGAGGCCAGGAATTTGAGACCAGCCTGGGCAACAAAGTGAGACTCCATCTCTACAAAAAATAGAAAATTAGCCAGGCATGGTGTTCCCTGGAGTCCTGGCTACTTGGAAGGCTGAGGCAGGAGGATCACTTGAGCTCAGGAGTCCAAGACCAGCCTGGGCCATATAGTGAGACCCCATCTCTACAAAAAATAAAAAATTAGCTGAGCATGGTGGTGTATAGCTGTAGTCCCTGCTACTCGGGAGGCTGAGGTGGGAGGATCACCTGAGCCTGGGAGGTTGAGGCTGTATTCAGCTGTAACTGCACCACTGCACTCCAGCCTGGGCGACACAGCAAGACACTATCTCAGAAAAAAAGAAGAAAGGAACAGAGACAGGGCAGAGGCTTTGAAGACTGTTGAGATGAACATGGCTGCACCCACCTGCTGAACCAGGAGGTCGCCGATTTTCTGGATGACATAATTCCGGTCGCTGCCCTCCTCCAGGGACTCCTGGCGGCGCTCCTTGAGCCGAGCGAGGAAATGGCTGTGCGTCTCCAGCAGGTCATCAGCACATGGGAAGAGGCGGCCAATGGCCTTGCTGCTGAACTGCAGCTCCTCCTGCAGGGCCCTGGAGTACACCTTCAGCATGATCTTGAGAGTCCGCACGTGGTGCACCTCCGTCTGCATCAGCTCTGCAGGAACACGGACGGCAGGACTTAGCCATGCTGGCTCCACGGCCCTGCTGGGCAGTCGTGGGTGCTGCCTGCCCTTCACGTGCTGAACTGGCTTCTGAGAGTTCTCTGCCTAAGGCCTTGTGCCTTTGGGGTCTTTCTTACTTCCTGGGCGTCCAGGGTTTAGAGTGCTGCAGGGGGTCCCAGCCTAAAGGAGCAGGGGAAGGAGACAGCCCTGGGACCTCCCCATCACAGGAGGGTTTTGTGCCCAGTGTCAACCCAACGGACAACATTTTAAGTCCGTGTGGTTTTTGTTTTTTTGTTTTTTGTGTTTTTTTGAGATGGAGTCTTGCTCTGTCACCCAGGCTGGAGTGCAGTGGTGCAGTCTCAGCTCACTGCAACCTCCGCCTCCTGGGTTCAAGCGATTCTTCTGCCTCAGCCTCCCAAGTAGCTGGGATTACAGGTGTGCACCACCAGGCCCAGCTATCAAGTCTGTTTTTAGGAAGAAGAGTGTTCTGAGGAACACTCCTGTGGCTGTCAAAACTCACACGTCACATCTGTGTGTGTCCCTGACCAGACCTAGACTGCAATGAACGAGATGTTTGCATCCCCCAAAATTTGTATGTTGAAATTCGAACCCCCAAGGTGATAGTATCAGGAGGTGTGGCCCTTGGAAGGTGATGAGGTCAGAAGGGGAGAGAACCTCATGGTGGGACTAGTGCCCTTAGGAAAAGGACCTGAGAACTGGGGGTGGTGGCTCACGCCTGTAATCCCAGCACTCTGGGAGGCCAAGGTGAGCAGATCACTTGAGGTCAGAAGTTGGAGACCAGCCTGGCCAACACAGCGAAACCCTGTCTCTACCAAAAAATTACAAAATTAGCCGGGCATGGCCAGGCATGGTGGCTGATGCCTGTAATCCTAGCATTTTGGGAGGCTGAGGTGGGCAGATCATGAGGTCAGGAGTTCGAGACCAGCCTGGCCAACATGGTGAAACACTGTCTCTACTAAAAATACAAAAATTAGCCAGGCATGGCGGTGGGTACCTATAATCCCAGCTACTCGGGAGGCTGAGGCAGGAGAATTGCTTGAATCCGGGAGGTGGAGGTTGCAGTGAGCCGAGATGGAACCACTGCACTCTGGCCTGGGCGACAGAGTGAGACTCCATCTCAAAAAAAAAAAAAAAAGAAATTAGCTGGGCATGGTAGCAGGCACTGTCATCCCAGCTACTCAGGAGGCTGAGGCAGGACAATCGCTTAAACCTGGGAGGTGGAGGTTGCGGTGAGCTGAGATTGCCTCACTGCATCAGCCTGGGTGACAAAGTGAGACCCTGTCTCAAAAAAAAAAAAAAAAAAGGACCTGAGAAAGACCATGAAGACCTTGTGAGGACACAGCCAGATGCCACCATCAGGAAGCCAGGAAATGGGGCCTCCATGGACACTAAGTCTGCCGCTGCCTTGATCTTAGACGCCCCAGCCTCTGGAACTGTGAGCAATAAACTTCTGTGGTTTCTAAGCCACCCTGTGTATGGTGTTCTATGAGAGCTGCCTATACGGGCTAAGACAGCACAAAACAAGGGAAGAAGAAGATGGATCTGGGCATTCAGCCAGATGCGTCCACAGGGACGTATTCTAACAAAATCCTCTCTGACCGTCTCTTCCCTGGCGTGGGAGGAAGGGCTGCACCAAGGGAGGAGAGAGAAAGAGGGAGGCCAGGCACCGTGGCTCACGCCTATAATCCCAATACTTTGGGAGGCCCAGGCGGGCGGGTCACTTGACCTCAGGAGACTGAGACCAGCCTGGGCAACATGGTGAGACCCCTGTCTCTACAGAAAATAAAAAAATTTGCCAGATGCGGTGTAGTCCCAACTACTGGGGAGGCTGAGGTGGGAGGATTGCTTGAGCCCAGGTCGAGGCTGCGGTGAGCTCTGATTGTCCCACTGTACTCCAGCCTGGGCAATAGAGAGAGACTCTGTCTCAAAAAAGAAAAAAAAAAAATAAAGAGAGAAAGAACAAAAGAGGGAAAGAGAGAAAGACAAAGATAAGGAAGGAAGGGAGGGAGGGAGGGAGGGAGGAGGGAAGGAGCAGAGAAGAGAGTGGAGGGCCGGCGTGGTGGCACAGGGCTGTGGACTCCTCACCATAAAGGACATCTTGTCTCTTCACCACCTCCCTCTTTTGCTTCTTGGCGTAGGCCGGGTCCACGGCGAGGCTCCAGGACTCGGCTTCAAACTCGTGGCCATCTGACTCAATCTCACTCCTCAGAGAGGCGGCGTAGGGATCTGAGGGAAGAGCGAGGGGCGGCTGCTGGGGGCCCAGAGCCATGTCACCCGGATTCCCTCCGGTGGATGTGCTGACACGGGCCCCAGCTCTTCCCAGGAGGGACAGGGACTGTGTGGCAGCCACGAGAGAGCGGAGATGACCATACCTTCTACAAAAATGGACTCGGCGTTCGAAGTTGTGAGGGACAGAGAGTCATCAGCTGTCTGCTTAAGTTTTAAAAACACAGAATCGGCTTCATCCATCTCTCCTGTGATTGGTCTGAGTGCAAACAATAAAAACAATTGTTTTAGAAAAGTGAATTAAACACACACGCACATCCGATTCGATACTCTCCGAGAACTCTCCAGATTTTCACAGAAGCCTCAACTTTGTCTACAGATCATTTTTTTTTTTTAAATTGGGAGATTTGCCGGGTGCGGTTTCTCATGCCTGTAATCCCAGACTTCGGGAGGTCGAAGTCAGGCAGATCACCTGAGGTTAGGAGTTCGAGACCAGCTTGCCCAACATGGCAAAACCCCGTCTCTACTAAAAATACAAAAATTAGCCGGGCGTGGTGGCAGGTGCCTGTAATCCCAGCTACTTGGGAGGCTGAGGCAGGAGAATCACTTGAATCCGGGAGGTGGAGGTTGCAGTGAGCTGAGATTGTGCCAGTGAACTCCAGCCTAAGCGACAGAGTGAGACTCTGTCTATAGAAAAAAAAAAAGCAGGGGCGGGGGAGATTATCTGTCAATGCCACATCAGGATTTCTTCCATAGTAACTTCCTTCAATGTTTAGTTACATTCTAATGGGGTGTGGATTGCAGCGTCCTTGACAGACCACTGGAGCCCACTTGGGGCCCCAAGGATCCTGTCTACCAGGAGTTAAGTGGAGATGGCTTCATGGTCAAGGGCGGGAGGGCAGTCCTCACTCAGAGGAAAAAGGTAATCTATTCCCTTTCCCACGAACTCATGGAATAGCCATCACAAACATATCAGCTTCTAGCATCACTTTGTACTTGGACACCGCTGCAGGCATTATCAAGGGAACCACTTTGAAGTCCTATAAAACGAGGTAATGCACAGATAATGGAACGCTGCCTCCCCACACACCCAGCAGGACTTTGAGCATCACCTTGAGTGAGGAGCCTGGCCTAAGGAGCGAGTCCAAGGATCCCCTGAGGCCACTAGGCAAACTGGCTTCATCAGGGGTCGAATACACCCTGGGACACATCGAATATACCCCGGGACACATCGTTTTTGCAAAAAGGCGAGGATCCCGGAAGCAAGCGTTAATGGGAATTTCTCTGCTTGGCACAGGGGCTGCCGTGTGGATTCACACAGATCTAAGTCGGGGTCTCCCCCTGGAGAGGCTGTCAACAGTTCCCCGGGGAACGCCACCCACCCGAGGGCAGAGAGGGGACTCCGGCTTACCCGAGTTGCGTCCCAGGGCCAGCCGGGCTCGGTGTTGGCTGGGGACCCCCTTTCTGAGAGACCGTCATACCGACATTCCTGGACAGGGCCGGGCTGCCATCGGACAGGAGGGTGCCCCGGGGGTTCTCCTTGAGCGAGGCTGTGACAGAGGCAAGGACAGAGTTGGTGCTGAGAAAGTGGGTCGGGTAGCGGAGGTCACCCGCGCGGAAGCCCCGCTCCGACTGCGGCCGCAGCACGGACAGGATCTTGGAGGTCAGCAGCTCGTTATCCAAGAAGACATTCTCACTCCATTTCCTGGGGAAAGAGCCGTAAAAAGACAGCTCGGGGCGGCCAGGGAGCGTGCCGTGCCTGTCCCCGCTTTTGGAGTGAGCATTCCCCATGTTCGCGCCCAGGGCTCCGGGACCCGGCGCGGTGCCAGGCTGGGCTGCGCCGTTTTTATGCCTCGGTGGGATCCTTCTAGAAAACAGAGCTGCGTCTTCCCTTGCTGTATTGGCTGAAGCAGCGGGTCTGGAGGGCAGGATATTGGTCCCCACTGTGACCATTTACTGTGGAAATTGCACAGTATTTGTTGCTTTGATAGAATAAAACAGGAAAAAAAAAAAACCCCTCTAGGCTCTCCCTTGGTCTTTGCAGGGTGTAAAAACCAAGTGAGCTGTTTCAGTTTGCTGTAAATAGTCTAAGATCATGAAACTGTGCGCCTGGCGCGCTTCATGCCAAAACCTCGCACGTGATGATAATTAATCTGAGATCAGATGTTAGGGTGACTCTAAGACCCAGAGATGGCAGGACACGGTGTTTAGCCGCCCCTGGTCATCAGGACTCAAACAGAATTCTACCATCGAAGCGGACCTGAGGCTCCGATTCTGTTCCACACCGTGATTATAAACCAATCCAACATCAACAGGGGCTGCAAACAGTTGTCTACACCCATCTGTTCATTAATTTAAGGGTTCAGATCATAGGATACATGTGCCCGCGGATAAGCTCACCTACTCATGGAAAGATGCAACTCTTTTAATTAATTATTATTATTTTTAGAGACAGTCTCACTCTAGCTCAGGCTGGAGTGCAGTGGCCGACCACAGCTTACTGCAGCCTTAAACTCCTAGGCTCAAGCAATCCTTCTGCCTCAGTCTCCTGAGGAGCTGGGATTATAGGTGTGCTGTATAATTTTAAAATATTTTCTTGTAGACAGATGGGGATCTCACTATGTTGCCCAGGCTGGTCTTGAACTCCTGGCTTCAAGTGGTCCTCCTGCTTTGGGCCTCCCAAGATGCAACTCTTAATAAAGCTCAACTATGGCCGGGCGCGGTGGCTCACGCCTGTAATCTCAGCACTTTGGGAAGTCAAGGTGGGTGGATCATGGTCAGGAGTTTAAGATCAGCCTGACCAAGATGGTGAAACCCCGTCTCCACTAAAAAAATAATAATAATAATAATACAAAAATTAGAAGGGCGTGGTGGCAGATGCCTGTAATCCCAGCTACTCGGGAGGCTGAGGCAGAGAATTGCTTGAACGTGGGAGGCAGAGGTTGCAGTGAATGGAGATCGTGCCACTGCACTCCAGCCTGGGCAACAGAGTGAGACTCTGCCTCAAAAATAAAATAAAATAAAATAAAATAAAATAAAATAAAATAAAATAAAATAAAATAAATAAAGCTCAACTATCATTCATTAGGTTCAGTTTTCCCCTCCTATTTGACAAGTGTAGTTGAGATGGGCTACTTGGCTAGTTTATTCCTACATTTTATAAAATTGTATCTTCAAGCTCTGCCCAGGTAAGGACAAAGAGTAGCATTAAAAAGAAATCTGGGCTGGGCATGGTGGCTCATGCCTGTAATCCTAGCACTTTGGAAGGTAGAGGTGGAAGGATCGTTTGAGGCCAGGAGTTCAAAACCAGCCTGGGAAACATAGCAAGACCCCGTTTCTACACAAAATAAAAAATTAGCTGGGCACACTGGCGCACACCTGTAGTCCCAGCTACTCGGGAGGCTGAGGCAATAGGATCGCTTGAGCCCAGGAGTTCAAGGCTGCAGTGAGCTATGATCGCGCCACTGCACTCTAGTCTGGGCGACAGAGCGAGACTGTCTCGAAAAGAAGAGAAGAGGGGAGGGGAGGGGAGGAGAAAGGAGGGGAGAAGAGAAGAGAGAAGAAAAATAGAAATCTGATCTGTCAGGCTGGGTGCAGTGGCTCACGCCTGTAATCCCAGCACTTTGGGAGGCCGAGGCAGGTGGATCACCTGAGGTCAGGAGTTTGAGACCAGCCTGGCCAACATGATGAAACCCCATCTCTACTAAAAATACAAAATTAGCTGGGCATGGTGGGGAACAACTGTAATTCCAGCTACCCGGGAAGCTGAGGCAGGAGAATCACTTAAACCCAGGAGGCAGAGGTTGCAGTGACCCCGACATCATGCCACTGCACTCCAGCCTGGACAACACCAGTGAGACTCCATCAAAAAAAAAAAAAAAAGAAAAAAAAAAAGAAATCTAATCTGTCCAGTGGCCTCCTGGCTCCTAGGTACTGACATACCTAGGATGTCTTGGTTTGTCTATGTTACAGGAAGAGAGCAGCTGGAAGTCTCTTTCTTGGGAACATGGAGTTATAAACTATGGGGTGGGCAGAGCTTGTCCTAGTGGAAAATGTACTCATAGCAGCTCTCCTGGGAGAGGATTCAGCATTCTCAGCAACTTCTTCACTTTTTTTTTTTTTGAGACAGATTTCCGCTCTTGTTGCCCAGGCTGGAGTGCAACGGCGCCATCTCGGCTCACCGCAACCTCTGCCTCCCAGGTTCAAGTGATTCTCCTGCTTCAGCCTCCCGAGTGGCTGGGATTACAGGCTCCCCACCACCACACCAGGCTAATTTTGTATTTTTAGTAGAGACGGAGTTTCTCCACATTGGTCAGGCTGGTCTCGAACTCCTGACCTCAGATGATCCGCCCGCCTCGGCCTCCCAAAGTGCTGGGATTATAGACTTAAGCCACCGCACCCGGCCTCTGAGCAACTTTTAATTTAGCTGTAAATTGAAGGTGATTGTTAACGTGCAAGTGCGTGTGTGTTAGAGATTTTCTGGCAGAGGAGCCAAGAATTCTTGCCGATTAAGACATCAGCCACTAAGCTGTGTGACAGCACATCGCACACATACTCAGTTGCTGTTCATTCTTTCCACGGCCCAGCACAGCGAGGATGACATTTGTTCAGTGGCCAGAAACATTCTGACGTCATGATAATACATGACTAACAATTCCTATTATTATAGGAGACAAAGCAGTTGACGACGTAACTCACAAAGCAACACCTATGTAAAAAAACAGGAATCCTGAACCAAAGGCGACACGGTCCAGGACAGGCATTTCCTGCCATTTCTGTCCAACAACTCCACCCAGACGATTATGACCTAAACATACAAATACGGTGCAAAACCCGAGATGTATCCTTTGCCCAGCAGTATCCTGGCACGGCTGACACATGGTTGCTTGTGGACTGAGGTCCTGACTGAAATCAGATGAATTCTGCTCTAGCACAATAGTCCATAGAAGAAAAAGTCACTAAAAACAGCATTTGGCCAGGCACGGTGGCTCACACCTGTAATCCTAACACTTTGGGAGGCCAAGGGGGGGTGGATCATTTGAGGTCAGGAGTTCAAGACCAGCCTGGCCAACATGGTGAAATCCTGTCTCTACTAAAAATACAAAAATTAGCTTGGCGGTGGTGGTGTACACCTGTAATCCCAGCTACTCAGGAGGCTGAGGCAGGAGAATTGCTTGAGCCTGGGAGGCAGAGGTTGTGGTAAGCCGAGATCATGCCACTGCACTCCAGCCTGGGTGACAGAGTAAGATCCTGTCTCAAAAAAACAAAAACAAAAACAAAAACAAAACAAAAAAACAGCATGTAAAGCAATGCCAATTCCCAAAATCAAGTTGATGGCAAAAAGAAAGAAAAGAAAGGAAGGAAGGAAGGAAGGAAGGAAGAAAGGAAGGAAGGAAGGAAGGAAGGAAGGAAGGAAGGAAGGGAGGGAGGGAGGGAGGGAGGGAGGGAGGAAGGAAGGAAGGAAAGAAATGCTGATTCCAAAGAATTTTAATAAACTATTGGTAATGCTAAATCTATGGGAACAGATGTAAATCTTCCTTTCATGATTTAGAAGACACTGAAGTTTTCACATGTTGGGGTCATGACCAGGGGACACCAGGTTAGAGACCAGCCTGGGCAACACAGTGAGATCTCGTCTCTTAAAAAACAACAACAACAAATTAGGCAGGCATGTTGGTGTGTGCCAGGAGTCCCAGTTACCTGGGAGGCTGAGGTGGGAAGATCGCTTAAGCCCTGGGGTTCAAGGCTGTGGTGAGCCATGATTGCCCCACTGCACTCCAGCCTGCGTGACAGAGCAAGACTCTGAAAAAAATGAAACAAAATGAAATAGAATAAGAGGTGGTCATAAATAGAGTCTTCCTGGAACACGTGTGGCCACTGAAATAGCTGACGGGTCAAGACATGAGTCAGTGGCCCTGCCACAGACCCGCTGCATTGATTATGTCCTTTTATTCCATATTTGTGATGCTTTGACCTCTTGGGGCTTTGCTGAGCATGGACGCACAGCCCCTCCCAGTTTCTAGAGATAGTAAACGGTCTGCAGCCAATGCAGAGCTCAGACCCCCAGTTGCCTCCTTTATGGGGCTGTCACACTCCTGGCCGTGGTCCCGCTGCCCTCATCACCTCGGGGTCCCGTCCTGAGCCTGCTCACCCTGCCTGGTCCATTTGTTCCCCAGGAAACCACAATGAAGATTCCTGTCCATATTTTCCCCTGTCCCCCAACCGACCCTGGTGCTTCCCTGTGTGGCCCGTGTGTGGTGTGCCCTGCCTCCTGCTTCCAGAGGACTGTGAATATAAACTTCTTCCTTCCTGATGGTCATTTCTGGGTCTGTGAGTCTCACCATACTGGGTTCAGACAAATCCCAGGTATCCTAAAACGACAGCTGCCCAGGGACCAGAGGTCTGCTTGCCAGGGATGGGAGAGCCTCAGATCTTCTGTCACCTTTTTTTTTTTTTTTTTTTTTTTTTTTTGAGATGGAGTCTTGGTCTGTCACCCAGGCTGGAAAGCAGTGGGGGTGATCTCGGCTCACTGGAACCTCTGCCTCCGGGG